TTAAGCCTTTGCAGGATACCCTCATAACTAGGGTTGGTTAAGTGAAAGAGATGAGATATTGAAGTAGAATAGAAAATGTTAGTTGAGTTGGTTATACAGGAATTAGAGAAAGAATGGAGTGACACGTCTAATGGTGGTGGACTGGCTATGACCACGTAGCCAATGATCACGTGATCCTGAAAGTTCCGAAGTAATTAGGGCAACACGAAGAGTATTTTCATTGGTTGAGAGAGGAGGGTAAAGGGCGTAAATCTGGGACAAACCAGAGAGATGACCCAGCTATGAATACGACGATGGACGGCAAGGTCAGGAGGAAAAAGGGGAGACCTTATACTTACTTAGTAGTGACAGGTAGTACCATAAATAGTTATAAATTTTCGTAAGTACATTTTTGAGGCATTCAACAGGAGCTATAACAAAGAAATTGAAGTTTCATGAATATTCGACGGCCACGGCGCGGTCCTGCCCTCCACCGCCGCCTCCGACTAAATTTCCCACGCCCCTTCACTCCACGGCGCTCTATCTCAGCCTTCTGCTTTCGCCATCATCGGTCTTATTGCATGACCAAGCCGCCGTTACTCTCTACGCTCATATTCAGCACCATTGGGCTAAGCTCCAAAGTATTCCTCAACTTTTTGTGTAAGGACGTCAAGGTTGTTGGGTTACAGAGGCTTTTGCAGAGGTTGGACGACGTGGAGGAGGATGGCCGTGGTAGAGGAGTTCTGACTGGTGTGTGTTTGCTCTTTGAGTTTGTACGCGTATTTTCTTGTTAATGGAGAGGTGTATTGAATAGTTTCGAATCATATTTCCGTGTATGATTTCTTTTCGTCGAATGCGAATGTGCAAAATAAATTTGATTTAGTTGCGACGAACCGATAACATGGGGGATTCTCCCTATTTCCTACGTTTTACTCCGAAAACCCATGAGATGGACGTTAGGAGCATCCGATGTTCTTTTTACAAGGCCGTGAGTAGCCATATATATTTCCGGATTTATATTCTCTTGCTCAATTTGGTCATTCCATTTCCTTGAATCCCAAGAAAGGCTCTTCTCCTCATTCTTCTCGAAGGGCCAAGTGCTAGAAACAGTTAGAGGTGCAGGTATTAGACAAGAGGCTGTGGACAGGTCAATTAGATTATTAGATGAGGGTCAATGGGTATATTGTTTATATTATTGCTCTCCAGCAATGCTGATACGTAAATCGGATAGATTCACATATTTCCCGAAGGAAAAATAACGCAACCACCGCATTCAAACTTATCGAGGTTAAAATGGGGGATGTGCGTTGTATTCTCTTCTTTGGTTACGTCATTGTTTTGAACTTTGGATAGTGGACGAATGTTAATGGAAACGCGCCAAATACCAACTATAATTCCAATGTGGATAACAGGTTCGTCCATCTGTTATTTCCAGCCCTTCGTCTAATTTATTCCGCCACGTACTTTCTAGGGTTTGACCAAGTATTGGATGAAACCCGCGGTTGGCCAAAACCTATTCCTCGTCCTGGCAAACGAGTCAGCATCACATTTGGTACCCAGGAGGATTCTGCATTTATCGAGGATAAGATTGCTGTTTTATTACGGGAAAGGCGTTGGAAAGAAGAAAAGCTTTCTCAGGCTGACGAAGATAAGTTAAGGTCGGATATTACAGCGATTATCAAAGAGGGCTTGGAGAGGGTTGGAGCAAGGGTATCCGGTGAAGTTCAGAAGGTTAAGGAGGGAAAGGAAGTATGACGCTGGTTCCGAACTCAGACTGGGACATGTTATCGTTCGCAGCATTCTAACTTTATTTCCTTTGCTCGTGATACTTTGTATTTTTATTCTTAGCGCATTGCATTCGATATCGTACTTACATCACCCTTCCTAGACACACTATTCTTTGATTTTTTCAATAAAAGATTTTAACCCCAAGCTCCCACCCCAGCCAAGGCGCCGCCAAGCGAATTCGTGCCGACAACACCGCAATTCAAAGGTAGGCATGAAGCGCCGCTGGCTAACTTTGTTCCGCTGAACTCTTAAGTAACACGATCCGTTCCTTCATTTCAACAGCTGTCAACTTACCTACTCATTATCCACCTCCAGAACGGGGAGAGACTTTACCGATGACACGCCAACGCAAGTATACTGAAAAGCAGAAGACCTGAGATGCTGTGCCTATCTGGTAACAATCCGATTGCTAGAAATCCCCGCGCCAATGAGACCGGTGTTACGCGCGTTCTAATGGGAGATGCCAAGGCTTCATTTCACTTCAGGGTTCTCCATCACTGTGACTGCCGCACAACATATAAACGCAACGTCGTCTCCATCTCCGCTCACTTTCGACGCCCACATCCCTGTACATAGTTGACATGGAGAAACGCTCCTTATCTTCAACGTCGCAGTCAGCGACCTCAACGACATCACCTGTATTAAGTGCGTTGTGCTGTATTTTGCTCCGATTGGCCGCGCGCTGATGCTTGCTCCACAGTAGACAGTCAAGGCCACCGAATCCCTAACCCACACACATCACCCCCAGATCTCGAAGGTCAAACGAATACAAACGAAACAGCAAATGAGGCTGAACCGACATATTATGAGAACATTACCAATTTTATACACCTACACCATGTCCCACGTAAAGAGCTGTGGAAGCGCCTGAGAGGGAAGACAAGGGAAAGGGTGCCGGGGGTGTGGGAAAGTCTAAAAGCCATTTTCTTCAATTCTTGTACGTATATTTCCGTCTTTCATTTATGAATGACAGTAGACTGATGAGATTTGCGTAGGGCTAAATATATTTTTAATCGTCATCCCTTTTGCATGGGCCGCACATTTCCAGAAGGAATGGCCTAATCATCTCATTATTACTTTTATATGTACGTTATATTCTTGTCTAATCTCCTTTTATGTGGGTCTAATAATTTGGACGACAGTATGTTTCGTCTCGCTTATCCCACTAGAGAAGATGTTTGATTTCGGCGGTGAGCAGATGTCTTTATATATGGGAAAGGTTCGATATCGTGTTATTATCAACCGGTGACGATAGCTTAACGCAATCCACCTTTTTAGGATCTTGGTGATCTCCTTGTCGTCACACTCAACAAGTACGTCTCACGCTTCATTCTGCCATCTAAGAACTCAAATTGACATGATAAACCTTATAGCACGGTCGAAGCAACCCTCGGAATCATTCTTCTCAAAAAATGCGAGTAAGTAACCATGCCTATAATCTCATTCAAAATCCTTACCGCTTTCTTCAGCCTGAAACTCCTTCAATCCACATTATCAGGTTTGATTCCCATTTCCTAAACCTTTCTTTCAACCTCCTCACACATTGAGCTTTAGGCGTGGTACTCCTGCACTTATTGCTAGTGCCTGGTGTCGCATTCCTAACAGGCGGTGCCCGCATCTGGCAACAAAATTTACATCCTCATCCTACGCAGTTGAACCAAACGCTGCTAACTATTGGGTACGTCCCACTCTCCATTTATTCGCTTATATCCTCCTAAATCTATTCTGATCAGGGTCCTGTCATTGTTAATACCAACCGCCTTCTTCGCCGCTTTGAATCCGAGCGTGCCTTCAGCCATAGCATCAGCAGCTACGGGCGCTGCAAACATTCTAGTCGCGGAATCAAGTGGCGAAGCCTTGATTAATGACGACTTGAGGGATGTATTCCTTCGTATAAGCCGTGGGATGTCTATCCTTTTGCTCATCGTGTAGGTGTTCTATCTCTTTATTTACACAATAAAATACTCATCGGAATTATTATTTTTTCTGATCCAGTTACGTCTGCTCCCGCTTCTTCCTGTACAACCCACCAGGAGACGGCAATTCTCTCGCTCTTCCACCAGATGCACCTGAAGAACTAAGGCGTATCGAACACGAACTTGCTCATGAAGAACCCAAAATCAATCCCTGGGTGGGATGGCTGCTCTTGGCGGTGACAGTGGCTATTACCGGAGTTACTGCTGAATTCGTACGTTGTCTTTTTTTGTGCAATTGCAATGTATATCTTATTAGCGATGCCTTTAACAGCTTGTCAGTAGTATCGAGACTGTATTGGAAGAAAGTAATATCACGCAAGAGTCCGTCCTGTCCTAAAACATTTCCAAATTCTGCGTACTAACCCGATGCACAGATGGTTCGGCTTAGTCCTTCTCCCCCTCGTCTCTTTCTCCGGCGACGCAACAGTCGCCATAGTCTACTTCCTTCGGACCATCCTATTCCTTAAGCCCGAGGTGCCCGAATCCCTGGCCAAAGCACGCGCGATCGACCTCAGTATCCAGTTCACATTATTCTGGATGCCATTTTTGGTTTTATTGGGCTGGTGGATCAACAAGCCTTTGACATTATTGTTTGATCAATTCGAAGTGTCTGTTTTAATTGGGGCGTGTTTTCTTGTGAACTACGTCACGGCGGATTCTAAGACCAATTGGGCCGGTATGTTCATCTAAGTTTATTTTTATACGCTTCGCTGAATTTCTTTTCGTTCCTGTTTTCAGAAGGTGTCATTTTATGCGCGTTCTACATTATGATCGTAAGTCTCATCTGCGGCCATTTTAATTGGGAATTTGATAATTAAATGTCTGGCTGTCATAGGTCCTCACTGCCTGGTACTATCCCGGTCAACTGCCCATTCGACAATTACTGGCTTGCCCGACGGTGGCCGAAGGCTTAGCAGAAGGTGTGAGCGGATAAAGTGATTGGCTGCATAATGGGAAGTGTCCGGTTAATTTAACTATTTGAGGATTAATTGGAAAGTGGTGTTTTCTTCTGGATTTTGAACGTCGGGATTGTGTTTATTATCTGTTGAGAGGCTATCTATCGCAAGTGTATATTACTTTGTTACGCAATTCATTATGGTTTCCATTGTATATAAATTACAACGTAATATCTGCACTCCCCAAGTGGACTACTGTAATATTACTAAGTTCTTCTAGAGAGATGTCAAGTGTGATCAAAATCAACTAACATGTCAAGATGGCTGTGTCGTGGAGTGGCCCAAATCCTAATGTTCCACCGCCTTGCTAGCTCAATCGGTAGAGCGTGAGACTCTTACAGCTGTGGTGTTATCGCCTAAGTTGTAATCTCAAGGTTGCGGGTTCGACCCCCGCGTGGGGCTAATGTTCATTTTTTTCATTTTAATTTATTGTCTTTGTCAATGTGTTCCATTTTCCTTCGAGAAAATATAAAGGGTGTTAGAAACTAAATAAGTTACACATGCTTGTGGTTACGCCAATTTATCTGGTCTAAACGTGTATCTCGTATCATAATATTTACTTCGGATCTCAAGCTGGTATTTAGAGATTCAAGAAACTCGTCTGTCCTAAAGTGACAATAATGCATATACAGATCCATCGAGCCTGAGTACTCCGCGCCTTTTTCACCAATTAACACAGGAAAGCATCCAGGGTCTATATCACATTTTAATAATTCCAATCTTTTAAGGAACGAGTGTATACGGAAGACTTGGATAAAGTTATCCACGGACAACCTGACTCGGTCTAACGTTATACGAGAAAGCTTCGTAGCCTTTAAGGAGGATAAAAAATCGATTAACGGGGTGATTCTCTGTCGTCTGGAACCTCTTCCGATTTTGAGGTGGAGCGAAAGATGGCTCAGTTTAGGTGTTTGAAAATTCCGTACTACTTCCGTCCCTTCCAAGATGGACGACATGGTAATGCGAAAATATTCGAGACAGGGAAGATTAACCGAAGTAATTTTACCACACCATTCGGGAGGTTGGAAACATGGTAGGATCGTAAGATGTAATTCCCGTAGATAGATGCAAGAAGATATTCGGGCGTAATCCACAGGCATCAGGTGATTCCAGGGGTAGGAGAGTCGGAGACAGGTTAATGAATCCACGCTGAAAGATTCTCTACGAAAGAGATCGATGTAACCAGGTGACAGGGTTAGGCTCTCTAGTGGGAGGATATTGGATGGATAAACGATTGGATTGCCCCATATTTGGGGCGAACCGATTAGGGCGAGATGCTTTAAACGTGGAAGCTTGATTTCCTCGCCCACGCTGGCGGAGAGAATGATATTGACAGCTGTGAGGTAATGATAGTCATGGAAATTTCCGTGTATGCGAGAAATCCGATGGCTATGTTGACGAAATGCGGTCATAAACTGGACGGCGCACGATGCCTCATTCGGAAGTGTAGTGTTGAAGAGCCAAATCGAAAGGTCTAAGGAGGCTTTATCGGAGAGCTTGAGGCATCGATCAAAATACTCCACTGACTGAGGAGAAATTTCGTCGATTATAATAGTCGACCACGCTTCGGGAGTGCTCTCGAGTATATCCTTCCATAATCGACAGACTTGAGCAATGGTGGCCCTCACTTCTTGAGGGTGGGGCTCCTGAGGAATTAATCGCAAAATCCCATCCTTTTCGAATACGGCATCGTTAATCTTTAGAACAGCGAATACAAAGATCTGTTGCATGGTCTCTGCTGAGATCTTGGAAGCCATGGAGGATGTGTGATCGATGACAGGTACTCGTCTTGATTTTGTAGTGAGAGTCAGGTAATGCGTTGACTGGGAACTATGAAGCTTCCTCCCTTCTAATAGAGTAATGGAAGGGCCTCCGAGACGACAATTTGCATCATCAACGGCAGACCGAGAATAACCTTCGAGAAGCTCTTCGTTTTGAAGTTGGGTCTAGCTGTACAGTCAATATCTCTACAGATACAGGGGATAGGTTTTACGTACCGGAAGTTCATGGGAAGTCATAGTGGAGACTGCTTAAGAGATCAGTGCCCAGAATCATTATATATCCACTGTCAGCGCTGAAGCGCTGACGTCCCAATGCTCAGGTTCTGAAAAGGGAGGACCCTGCTTGAAAGACTACACGGCCGTTCTGTTCTTGAGGAGTCTATGTCACAATCTCTTGCTGTGAGTCTTCTCTCCGCGGACATAAGTCGTTCAGGGCATTTCCCTGTTGTCGTAACATTAGCGTCCTAGCGACCCTCGATAAATCCGCGGGGAGACACTTCGAGCTCAAACTGCTTACCAATCGGATTGCAAGGATATACCATAGAGCAGCCGGAAACCCCTGATATTTCCTAATTCCGAGGGGAAAGAAAGGTTTCGGGTAGTATAAATGGCGGTCTGGAAATAAATCTTTTGGAAATTGTTGCTGATTCTTCAAAGCTGAATCGATTGGATATAGGAGGTATATTAATTGTTGATGCTAGGATTGAGGTTAAATTGGGTGCGGCTGCAAGGAACTTATATAAAAGCTTTACCTTGGGGTGTCAATCTCTACTAGGTTATTTCTGTTGTCTTCCGAATAATCGGAAGGATTAGAGAAACATCGGCCGTGCTAAATGGATATGATACGCGCCCGAGTTACCCATAATAGAATAGTTATCAAAACTGGCGGATTCGATCGTAATACATACATAGCGCGTGAAAAGGTCAGCAGCCATTAGTAGTTATATCAATGCACGTCAATGGAGCCTGCTTGAACCGGTTTACTAAGTTCGCCGTACAATTTGAAAACTAAGGGCGTACTCATTGAGTAAAGCAGAATATATCACTACGGGAAAAATCCTCGGTGGTGGTAATGTACTTGAAGGGTCGAGGATTTAGTCCCATGGATCATCCGAGGGAATACTGCTAGTCTAAATGCAAAAGCCGCGGAGTCACAGGGGGGATTACCAGGAGGTGCACGGAGAGCAGGGGGAATAAGGCACAATGCAGGTACCTACAATCGCAGAGATTTTGTGATCTGATATCGTTTAGGGAGGTCTTGCTAATGATCTTGTATAAGATAATTGAGAATTTTCTCTCTTTTTATGATCCTGTTTCTTTGTTAGTTAAATGCAAGCATTTGGGATTGACATACGTCTCGGAATGATAAATAGAAGGACGCACATTGCCGTCCAGCAACTCTAAGCGAGGTATATATTGTTTCTGACTAGGTCTCTTGGCTCCCTGGAAAACGTGTTCTGTGTAACAACAGGTCAGACGGAAATGACCTGAAAGGACTAAAGAAGCAAAGGAAACTTGCATATTTGTGGAAATATAGCCAGGCTGTCGCGTGTTCATGTAGCTCACGCGCTCAATATATCCTTATTATCATTTGAAAAACCGAGGAAAGGAGATAGAAGGCATGGGTTATCGTGTCCGTCGCGGCCTCTGATTGGATAGACAGATTCTCCTCTAGAGGATGTCCCAAATCCAGCTCTAACTCGTCACCGAGAATCTCGTTCCACTTTTGTATATATTTGTTATGATTGAAACTAGCTATAAGTAAGCATGAGCGGAGAACGGAAAGCGACAAGTGTGCAGGGATAATACTTACTTGCAATACTACCATTTCCATAGGATACTCCTTTGCATATTAGCGATCAATACAAAAGTTTAAAAGGATATAGGTACGAATACGATGTACCAGGAAGAGTTGGTGCTCGTGCGTGGAAGCAGGTAAAGATGCGGGCGCCTATTGCGGGCCGACTGACGTAAGACAGCTGACATATCAGTGTCGGAAAGCTCTTTACTCGGAGCCTTCAGGCCACGAGAGAAATTATTATAATATATGTTTCAAGGTCAGTTATAGAATGGAACACGAAGGAATCAGACCGTTCTATTCATCATGAAATCTCATTTCTAGAAACAAACCCAGTGCAATTTTTATGCATTCATATCCAGTAATTTAAAGAGAACTTCAACGCACTTCTAGGACTCGGCACCGTATTGTAAGCGGTTACGGCCGCAGATTATACAGCCACTTACGGTGCGTTGAGTACCGTATGAGGGACTGTCTGCTCGCTCATCGGAACAGTTATGGTCGAAAAACGGCCGTAAACGGCTCAATACGGCGTAACAGCAGGTTGAAATCTTGAACAACGGCATTTTCTTGCTGATTAGAGTACGTATCATTCATCAAGAAACATAATAAAAATAAGATGAGTATATTGATGTCATTATTTGACCAGAAATGTTGAGTTTTGAGTGTACATTCAGACTGCAGGAAGATGATGGTCAACACCGCGGGAGAAAACATGGTCCTATAGTTAATTAGAGCTAGTTTAAATAATGTAAGGGATGTTTAATATTTAAAACATACTCTTAGAATAATTATAAGGAGCAGACAAGAGTTCACCTGATCATTCCACTGTCAAGAATTGGTGATCTTGGAGAAAGCCGAGTTGAAGAACTGTATAGCCGCGATGTTTTTTTTGTAGTTCTCTACATGTTTACCTGGACCTAACCGCTACCTGGTCGAATATTCACGCATTCTATCATCGAACTGATATCACTCTATATCCCTGAAGATCATCATTTTGCGACATCCACTAGTGCCTTCCACTTTCTCACCACAATCCACAAGGTATGAATCTGTGGTGATGTAGATAAGCTCTGTTAGAACTCTAGTATCATTTATTAGACGATCTGGTGATACCATTAGCGAATAACAGCATACTTACCTCCCACGACGAGGATGAGAGGAGTACGAAACTTGCCGAGGGCGGGCGCTTCCAAACTTTGATTGCAAATCAACTTTTCCCATTAGCTAGAACAACATTAGCCGATAAAGCCGTATAGACTGTTTCTACGACCGTAAACGGCCGTATTTCATACGGTCAAATACGGTAAGTAACGGCTAAACACCACCGGAATTCGAACTCGGTAGGACTGTTTGGTTTTACCCTGCAACCACGGTATCCGACCTGGAGCTGTTATACTGACCTACTTCCGCCAGAGCCCCTGTGTATCAACTAGAGGCACTTCAAAAGCTACAGCATCGATGTGTAGGTGAGAGATACAAGCATCACAAACTAGGTGAGGCTAAAACATATACGTTGATATTTACATAATTTGAAAGATTAATGAAAGTTAAACTGAGGATATCTGGAAACGGTTAGTATTTTCTATCGTCCTTATTGAGTCAGTGGTCAAAAGAACAGACTTACTCTCGCTGAGCAAACATTATTCGATTCTCAGCACGAGGGCAAGATCCAATATGTATGTTACCTACAAGGCCGATTGTACGGCCTAGAAGAGATCGCGATACTCTATAGACTATTGCTGATTGCAATAAGTTGCCTAAGAGAGTTGGAATACCGCAAACCGGAAAGCCGTTCAAGTGGCTGGTTGCATTGGTAGCAG